TCATTTCTCCCCCTGGCATCGAAATGTTACGCATAAGGAAGGGGTAATTGCTTGGAATAAAATTATTATGCTAGTCCTATGACGAAAATAGCTAAAGCCTAATCTAATAAGAGAGAAGACTTGGCCTAACAATAAGCCGGTTTCACATAAGCAAGTGGAACATCACGTTTAGAAAAGTAGTGATGTAGGCGTGCCCACTCTACTCTACTAAATTATTTTAGAGTACTCATTCTCCCTACTTCACATGATAAGGTGCACCCTTAGCCACAAAGTGGTACGAACATTTACTTGCTCCTAATGGCATAAAACTTGAATTCAAAAGGAGCATACCATTGCCATTTTTCTATAAATAGGCAACAAGTGCATGTCTAATGACTTTGGACACTCTACCAAACTTACACAAGACTTGCCTAGCACAAAACACCAATCTTGACCTTGTGTTAACCACCTATGCTCAATGAGAACTACTTCTTTTATGCGAGCTTAGCTTCCTAGGCTAGGTTTTACTTGTTTTTTTCCCTTTCTGTTCCTATGGAGCACGCCATTGTATTCACTCACCAGTAATATAATCGAGCTTTACGCTTCACATGGTGTGCCCTTTATTTTTTCTCGCATGCACTTGACTCTCCAAGGAAATTGTGGTAAAAGATCTTGGGAACCCCTTATCATCTAATTCAACTCACACTTTTGAAGACACACGCCTTTGGCACACTTGGCACACTCCTAAGGGCTATGATGCTATGGCCCCTTTCTCGAAAACCAAGCCAACAATGTCAATAAAAATGTAGGGTATTAATACGCAATTAATAATGATAATCAAGTTTAGATTTGGCACATTATAAAAAGTTAAAACATGTCTACATATAATGAAATCTATATCAGATAACATTATTTATAAGATGTAAACAATGCGACTTATTCTTCATGCTCCATACAATACATGAAAAATATGTTGATTTATTTTTCGAACAATACAATCAATTTTTCAAATTTTGTTAATTTTAAAAAGAATTTTTTATTTTTTTAAAAAAATTCATAGGAGACTTGAGACTTGTAAGTTAGTCACTTTTTCGGTTAAAAATGTCAAATCCAAGATAAATTTTGAAATAAAAATTGCAGCACGTTTGCTCCCATGTACCAAGTCCTACATCCATCCACCTACCTCCTCAATAATTCTTAATTTCTTATTCCCTTCCGAACTTATCCATTATCTAATTGGATATATTTAAAATTGTTTAAGTTAAATTTATTTAATAAAAATTAACAATTAATTGACTAGCGAAAGTTGAGTCTAGCAGGGTTAGTCTCCTTACCATGTAATGAATTAACATTCGAATCTAATTGAAAAATATGCTTATATCTAACACGCAATTATTCAATATATGAGGTCACCTGCACCCAAAAAAAAACTAATTTAAATCTTGCATTTACTTCTTATATTGCAAATGTTAATTCTTTTGTTGGGCCCAAAAAAATTGAAATGCTAGACGTCCTATTTTAATGCACTTCATCACTTTGCAAACTCTTTTGACTTTATTTCATACTTACATTACATATAACATAATTCAAGCACCATATAACATAATTGCATCCCATCTTTTCTCTCTCTCTCTCTCTCAAAATTCAGACAGAAGCAGATTTTTTTTTTTTCAAATAAAACTTCATGACAAATTTATATTGACTCTTTGATTGATCCCTTATTATAAACCAAAATAAAAACTTGACAATATTTAATAAAATCAATGATACACTTTGAGAAAGGAGAACAAGAAAAGGACAGAGGAGGGATCTAGAAGTGATAGGTAATTTGGTAATTAAACATAAAAAATTACTTATTTTGACAGACCTTGGACTCTAACTAGAATATTTTGATCATTTCATGGGACTTGGGGATATTTACAATGCAAGAAGAAGAAGAATGTTTTTTATTTTTGTAATTAATACACTTTACCTTTAAATTTCACTAGTAGAGTAGACACATGATTCACAACAACCATTCAAGAGCTATATTGAGATTTGAACATTTGCTATCTATAACAAAACTGTCAAAAGTCAACATAAGACGTGCCCAATTTATCTTTAGATGAGTCATAATTAAAAATTTTAATATTTAAAATTTAAACAATATGTTACCCATGATTGATTATTATATCTACTATTGCCTGCTGAAGTTTTGTTTTTTTTGGCCAAACTTATAAAGAGTTTAATATGATATCATAAGCTATTCGATTCTAAGATTAAAAAAAGTAAAAGCCCAAGCTAAAAGAAGAAAATACCGAAAAAAAGGAAAAAAAAGTAGTAGAGAGAATATTAATTAAAGATAAAGAAGTTAAAGAAGTCTTGTCTAGAAATTGGAAGATAGATTAAGAATAAGGTTTGAATATGTCTAACCAAATGATTAAAGTTATTTTGATGAAGTAGATCACTCTCAAGTATATACTTAATATAAAGAGTCTAGGAGTGCTTAAGTCACTGATGGATCCAGAAAAATCAATTAGTGGAGACAAAATTTCTACCAAAGATAAATATTAACACTTTTTAAGAAATTAATTTTGAAATGTTATTAAATTATATTAAATGTAAAATTTATTAAAATTAAATATTATTAAAGAACTACACTAAAAGTCGAAAATTACAATGACCTATAAACTATATCTTTTAGGATCCTTCCTTTTGTTTTTTTATCAAGAAAAAAAGTTTATGTGAAGTAACAACAAAGTCTTTATATCAGTAGCAGGATTTGTGGTCGCATTCTTATGAATAATGGGTCAAATCCTTAAAGATTGAATTTTTTTCTTAATATAACACACTTGATGGGGTATTAATTATGTTTTTTTTCAATATTATCCTATTTAAACTCATTAATTATGAAAGAGAATATGTAATGCAAAATTAAAATTTTTTATTTAAATAAAGGTAAAATTAGAAATTTATCCTATTTTCACACGAAGTTAAAAACCATATCTACTTAATTTTGATTGGATAATTAGAGTTACTTCATAATAAAAATTAGAAGAAGTATTCCACAGTAACCATTCAAGAACTCTTCAACCTTTCCAATCTCCAATAAAACACAATTATTGTTGTGCCCAACTTTCTTATTCAGACAAAGTCATAGGTCAATTCTTTTTTTTTTTCTTTTAACTCCCAACCTAATCCTTCCCCATAGGGAAGGAATCGATCAATTCTTTAATATTTAAAATTTTCTGGCTAAAAAGGTTTTTAATATTTAAAATTTAAAAAACAGCACGTGATTGTTTATTTTTTATTATGGTACTAAAACTTAAATTGACTCTCAGTGGTCTTTTTTTTTTTTAATTTTCACAGGCAATAAATGGCCTTAATTAGAGGCAAGTTGAACTAGATAATGTTTAATTATATTCAATTACCATGTTGCTCATTTTTAAAATCATATATACTCCCCGAGCTACCTATCCAACAAGTAAACAACCGCGGAGTCCTGTTTTGTCCCCTTTCTAAGAAGGATTTTAAACTTTATTTAAAATTATAAATTAATTCTCTAAACTTAATGTGATGAATTTTATGTTATAAGTTTCCAAAAATGTTCAATTAGTCACATATCAATATGTTGCTCTCACTCCATTCAACATTATATTATAAAATATCTTTAACTGAATTACACTTTCTAATGAGTTAGTTATTTATCTTTAAAATTATATATTATTTTCATATTCATCCTTTTTAATAGGATGTATCAATTGAAAAACCTTATTAATTATACTGAAATTTTTGGAAAAAAAACCTTAGAAAGACCAATGCCGGCAAGGCAGTAACGTGTGACACGCTTTGTTCACCAAAATATTGAGAGAAGTTAAAAATATTTGAATAAACGTGACCATTTTTCTTTTCTTCAAGTACACACTAGCTAGATAAATCTAAAAGACAAAAATCATACGTCGTATAGAAAACAACTAAAGCTGTGTAATAAATTACAATTTAATTTGTCTCTGAAAGTCGCCATGTCTTGCAAATGTGAACGATCTGACACTTTGGTTTCATTAATATTTGACCCATAAATCCATCCCTCTTAACAATATTGGAATGAAGTCCCGTAGTGGTGTCTCTTCAGAATAAATATAAGCACAGAGATTAGTGCACGGAACTCAGATAGTAATTAGATTACTCATCCAATTCAAAGAAGCCATTCCATTTTCAGGTTTCTCTTGACTTCTTTCTTTTGCATGATACACTCAGTTTCTCGTGTTATTTCAGATCTGAACTTTCAGACAAGAATCTGAATTTCTTCTCATCACTTTCTCTCTTCAATTTTCTCACAGGCTGGGGTTCAATTCAATGGCATCTCCTACAAACCCTAGTATCCTATCCAAAGCTGAATATGAGATGGTGAATCACATTATAGACATAAAGGAACTCGAAGATCTGAGCCCATTTGAGCCTAACAACATCTACAGAGTCCCTTGCACTTTAAGGAATCTAAACAACGAAGCTTACACTCCTCAGTTGATCTCCATAGGACCTCTTCACTTTAACCAGGAAAAGCTGAAACCGATGCAGAAGCAGAAGCTAAAATATTTCATCCCTTTTGGGTTCGTGTCAACAATCACGACGAAGCCATGAACAAGTTCAAGGGATTCCTTGAAAGAGAAGAGCAAGCCATACGCCATTGCTATGCTGTGGAATTCCCACACATCAACAAGGAACAGTTCGTGGCCATGCTGCTAGTAGATGCTGTCTTCATCATGGAGCTGTTTCTGAGGATTTCATCGACGAAACAAGGCGATAATGATGACGACGATGACTGTATACTGAAACAAACATGGCTAAGCAAGAGTATCCAGAGGGATTTTCTGTTGCTTGAAAACCAGATTCCATTCTTTATCTTGGATGAGTTATATGGAACTGTCTGCCTTGAGATTGATGATCAGAAACATAAAACGTTTTTCGATCTAGCTCGTGACTACTTCAAGTGTTATGATCCCCATGGAAAGTTTACTAGTTGTCCCGATAAAACCCAGAAACCAGTCATGGATCACAATATCTCATGGAAAAATTGCTGTGGTTCGGTTCCTATCCCGCAGAGGAAGTTTTCATCTGCAAGATCGGGGAAGAACAAACCAAAACATTTTACTGATTTAATCAGGTAATTTTAGCTTTGTCTAATACGTTATAAAAAAGTCCCTTTTAGTTTCAATAGAAATATGGGTTAAAGAAAACTTTTCTCCCTAAACTTATTTTTAAGAATTACTGAACACTCTAAATTGAAGACTGGGGTAATATTTACTCTAATCAATTTTTTCCAGGAGCAAAATTGCCCTTTCAGTTAGAGATCTGTTATCTTTTTTGTTATATATTGATGTAAAATACTTGTGGAGCCCATGCACAGTAACAATAAGGTATTTTAACCTATTTTAGTCATTTAATGTGGGTCAAAGAAGCTAAAAGTAGTAGTAACAATGGTAGGAATTGGCTTGATTTAAGCGGTGAAATGGTAGCAAAATGAGTCATAATGTCTTGCTATCAATGTGCATGGGTTTCACAAATGTTTTACATCAGTAGATAATAGAAAAGAAGATGGGTCTTTAATAGAGGGGTGATTTTTCTTCTGAAAAAAAAAATCTTTTAGAGATAATATTGCCTTATCTTTCAATATAAGGTGCTTAATGTTCTTAAATTTTCTTTTACATGATCTTTAACCTTATAAATATTAAATTCAACCATGGTTAACTGCTCATCACTCATAGTACTATTTAAGTGTTTATATATATTATTACCACCATCCATATTAAAATCAAGTCATTGGTTCTATTATTGCTTTTTCTCGTATGATATTGTCACTTTGTGATGTAACATTGTTATGTCATCAATTTATAGAATTAATTAATATCATCATGTTAAGGCGTCGGCATTGCTATGATGTTAAATATTGCTAATATTAATTGATGTAAATTATAAAAAATGAAATTTAAACTGTTAAAATAACATATAATTGACTACGTCAATGAAATTTAGCAGTTTTATTATATATATACATATAAATTTAAAATTATAATGGATATTTTATTATATACATATAAATTTAAAATTATAATGGATATTTTATTACAGATTTTTTACTATAAAATGATAATAACAAATTAACATTTTGTGAAAATGGTCCCACATATAATTAATGATAAACTCAAACTGCTACCTCTATAAGAATTTGAGCATGAAAGACTCTGATATATAATCCTCACAGACAACCATATTTTGTAGGGATTTAATTAGTCTAGGGAGAATAACAGTTAGGTTTCAAAAAATTAAATTAATGACCCTCAAGTTAGGTCTTTGAGACATTTAAGTTTCAACAAGGGAAACACTCATATTATAATTGAGATTCTTGTCTGTAGTCATTTGAATTAATATATATTTGCAACTCATTTTTTAAACAATTTTATCAATGATTTTACTGTCATTAATTCAATCTTTGGACTTAATTATAATTCTCCCTTTAATCATAATCTGGCCAGGTACTTCTACCTTGGTAAGGGTATGACTCAATGTAAAAAAGGGTCATCCTTACAGACTGCAACGAAGTTGCAGCAAGCAGGAGTGAGCTTTGAGAAAGTCATGAATAAACCCTTACTTGACATAAAGTTCCGGAAATTTCCAATCCTGACATGGTTTCTCTGCTTGGGTTGCATACCAACATTCACATGCTTCAAACCTCGTTTACAAATCCCTCAATTCAAAATGAACTGCACAACAGAATGTGTTTTGAGGAACCTCATTGCCTTCGAACAGTGTCACTATGCAAATGAACCTTATGTCTGCAACTATGTCTCTCTCATTGACTCTCTCATACACACAAAAGAGGACGTTGAATTGCTGGTTGAGAAAGAAGTTATAGTCCATGAACTTGGATCTGATAAAGAAGTAGCTACCATTGTGAATGGTCTCTGCAAAAATGTTGCGACCGACAATACGTGTTATGGAGAGATTATAGACAAACTCGACAAACATTATGAGAGCATGTGGAATCATACTATGGCTGCATTGAGGTTGGTTTACTTCAAAAATACTTGGAGAACAAGTTCAACTGTGGTCGGAATTGCCGTTCTCATATATACAATGCTCAACTTTTATCGACTTCTTCGTGACCATTACTTTTTTTAGATAAATGCCAAAGATCGCATCTTAAATGATAATGTTGTTTTAGTTTCGTATGTTTTCATTTAAGTGTTTTATAGTCGGGAAGTTGTAAGTTTGGGCTTGTGAAGGTTTCGTTATATGATGTGACGTACATCTTTTTTTATTTGTTATTTTACTTTCAATACAACAATGAGAAGTTAAGCCCACGTATCTTTTTCTATGTTTACTTATGATCACATGCTGAACATTTGGATAGTAATTAAAGGTTTTTGAACCAAAGGATATTAGGTCTAGCTATTATTAGAAGCCAGTTTCTTACAATGCAACAAATGAAAGTTGAATTTCACTCAAAGAGCAGTTTACATTTAGTGCTTGATCATGTTTTGAATAAAATTACTTTCAATAAGAGGACATGTGTGACAAAAAAAAAAAGTTTTTGAACCAGTAAGAACTAGGAGTGAAAATCGCGTGAGGCTGTTCTGTTGCCTCGATTTGATTCTATACTGAATGAAAGAAATTTGAAAATTAAAGCTTAGAAGAAAAGAAATTTCATGCAAATAAGAAAATTTTTTTGGCCAACTGATAAGATTCATACGTGAAAACTAATGTAGAGGATCTAATTAAATAGAAACTATGCATAGCTTGGGGTCTAGTTTCCATGCTTATCTTGAAGATGACCACCATGTACTCATCCTTGGGATGAGATCTAGACCATTCAGATTTTAATCTGGATGGTCCAAATTAAATTGGATAACATATTATTATATATTATATTTATTAAAAAAATTTATAAAATTTATAAAAAAATTTTAATAAATTTTTTATTTTTAATATGGTCTAAACTTAATTTAAAAGATCTAATTTAATATTAAAATTTTTATGATTAAAGTATATTAATTATTCAGATGTACTCTTCACAATCAGTATTATTATATATTATATTTATTTAAAGAAAAATTTATAAAAATTATGAAATAATTTTAATAAATTTTTTATTTTTAATATAATCTATATTTAATTTAAAGGGTCTAATTTAATATTAAAATTTTTATAATTAATGTATATTAATTATTCAAATGTATTCTGAACAATCCTAAACTATGAAGAGTATATCTAAATAACCAATATACATCAATTATAAAAATTTTAATATTAAATTAGACCCTCTAAATTAAATCTAGATCATATTAAAAATAAAAAATTTATTAAAATTATTTTATTAATTTTTATTTAAATAAATATAATATATAATAATATAATAATAATACTTTAAATTTGGACTATCTAGATTAAAATTTGAATGATCCAGATCTCATTTCAAGGATGATACTCATCCTTGGATGAGTAGAAAAACTAGTTCGGCCTAGGTTGTGGGATCTAGTTCTAGAGTTCAAGCCAAAAAAAAAATCTAGAGTAGGTAACAAACTGTTCCATGATAACTCAAGCATTAGGAGCTTAATACCTATAATTTTTTTGAAAAAATAAAAAAATTGGGATAAAATCTTAATTACTTGGTTCAAACCTTAGTTGGGGGCATTAAAAGTAAAGTTGAAAATAAGGACCAGGCCTGGAGAGCCAGGCCTAAAGGCCTTATCTAAATAAAGGTTCAGGTTTTAAAAATTATTTTTTAAAGTAATTGGATTTAAGAGCCTGACCTTGATAAACCTTGTAAAAAAGGGCTTGGTCCTGAGCGGTCCTTTAAGTCTTGTTATATTTTTTTTTTAGTAAAACACCAAACACATGCTAGAACTTTGAAGTTATGGACTTCTCGCCTGAAGCCCTCCCTAATCTTGATTCTTGAACTATGCATGAACCCTAATCACTCCTCACCTTGAACCTACGATCGCTTCTCCCTCAGCTTCACGCCTTCACCCTCACCCATTTGCCTCACGTCTCTTGTTCTTGTGATATATCTAAATATTTTTTTCTTGTGATATATGTGAGTGTGTATATTTAATAATGACACAATTTTGTTACTATTTATTATAGATGAGGAAGAAGTAGTTGAAGAGTATATTGACATTGAATCTCCTCCACCTTCAACAAGTAGACCTAGTTATAGGAGTTCTAATATTTTATTTATAGATGATGAGGATGAGGAGGATTTAGATTTTGATTGATGAATGATATAATTAATTTAGGTTTCTAAATATGTGTTATTTAATTTCTAAAAGATTATGAGGATTTTATTTTTTTTGAATTTTAGAATATTTTAATTAATTTATAATTGTTAATTTTATTTTAATTTTTTTAAACTTTTTAAAACAAGGCCTGAGGGCCCGATCTTGAGCCCTTCAAATAAGAGTCGGGCCTAAAAAATGAAGTTACAAATGGAGAATCGAGCTTAAGGGCTCAGACCTTTAAGGATCAAGCTCATCCATTATCCCAGCTCTAGTTAAAAGTCCATTAAAAAAATTTATGAATAGAGATTTTATTGGGGGAAAAAAATTTGAACTTCTGAAAGCGCTTGTAGCTCGGTAAAAAAATTAGTTTGGCATTTATTTAATGGTTTTTAAATTTTGTTGGATTTTCTCCTTATCCTCTCATTCGCTCAAATACTCGTCATTTTCTCTCTTCTCTTATAAAATTTTAAATTCTGAAATTTTTTAATATTTTGTAAAATAAATTAAAAAAATGCTCTCCAAATGCATCACCATGACGGCTCACAAGAGATAAGAAAGAGGAACCAAAAAAAAAAAAACCCTCACGTAACTCAATGTGCTCAATGCTATCGAGAAGCCAAGTATTTTGGCTTTAAACCCAGCCTAACTTTTAGGTTAGTAGCCCTCTTCCAAAAAAAATTTATTCAAACAAGTTGTTCAAATTTCAAATTGGCTTTTTCTTTTTTTTTTTGAGCAAAATTCAAATTGGCTTTTTCAGAACCAATCTGAAGTTTGGGTGTTATCCAACAAACACATTTGTAGAAGGCGAGGGCAAATTTATATAAATTTAGTAGATATATATACATTGTTTGTTTAATTAGTTTAATTTTAAATATTAAGAATAATGTATTTTTAAAAAATAATCTTATCAATGTTAAATAAATGCTAAACCCTAGTTTCAATAATGGCAAACTAGATAAGATTTTGTTTTTAATAAGGTCACTTAATCAGAAAAGGAAAGGTATAATGGATAAAAGCCGTTTACATAATCTATGTTCATTTACTAAAAGCTTTTCACTTGTACCGGTATTGCTTTTCAGTTTTTTTGGGAATTTAGCTCCTTACTACCAATATTCTTGGCTCTGCTTTAGGAACTGAAGTCCTTAACTTAGTGATGTTTGTGTCTTATACCTCGGTCAGTACCTAAATTCTCTCCTTGTTTATATGGGAAGTGAGCTCATTTACTTAAGATATTGAAAATTGCATCGGTCACTGAACCAGTTAAGCCAATAAGTCACGGTTAGTGGTTCAACCCTGATTGAACTGGTGGTCAACTCAGAGGATAAACTGGTCATGATTAAAATAATATAATTTAAATAAAAAGACATTCATTATAAAAACATTCAACCAAATTCAAGATGAATCTCTAATACACGATACAAAACAACAATAGTTATAGAAATATTGCCACTGAAAAGTTTAACAATAATAAAATATAATATTCTAAATATTCATCCTTACAATTACAACCCTTCAATTAACAAAAAAAAATCTAAAACTAATAATCACCAACACTAAAATAATCATTAACTTTATTCAAATCTCTAGGCATTCAAACACTAGGAGTTGAATGAGAAAAATCAGAATCACTAGCAACATTATCAGGCAAAGATGGGAGCTTTGGAACATTAATATATTCATCAGCCACAACAAACAAGAATTAATACTAATGAGCATGCAAAAACAATTTGATGGAGCTATAATGTTATATACTTGTATTAGACTTAATAGTTGATTTAAACCTTCATCCTCTCTCTCAAAAATTGATGGAGCATCCATGGTTTCATTATGAATGAACCTTTTAAGATTTGTTTGTAACATCTTGAGAATTGTTAACCTCTAGAAGTTCATGTTATTTCATCACATTTTCCTTAGATTCTAATCCATTTTGGTTCAATTGTATAGTTTTTATTGCCCAATTTAGGAAAATGTGTATTTTATTGTGGGCTTGTGTTCTTGGCTTTAATTTGATATTTTTAGCCTAATTTCATGTTATTTTGATTGAAGTTTTTATTAGAAGCATTTCTGGAGCTTTGTAGATATTCTTGGAAGGCTTTTAGATGAAGAAATCAAGAGCAAAATGAATTATCTTCGTTAGCTGTAAAAATAGTGCAAAATTGTCAAAGTCGTTCCAAAGTCGTGACTTTTATTAGTGACTTTCGTCGCTGTCAGAAAAACATTGCATTTCATTTATTAGAAATTAGTTGGCTAAGATACATATAAGCTGAGAGCTCGACCCAGAATGCATTCTTCAGACTCTTAGAAACTTTTGGAGCTTGGTTGTGCTAGGGTTTGGGCATTAGAAGAGTTGGGATCAAGAGATTGAAGCTTTGAAGACATTTGGAGTTCATTTTCTTTGGTTTTTCTATTCCTCTTCCCTTTCCTCTCTTGTAATCTGAAATGGGTCCACTCATTTTATATATTTGTAGCTTGTGGATGATTATGAGTAGCTAAACCCTTTGTTCTAGGATTATTTGGAACCCTTATATGGATTAACACTATATTTCTCCTCTCTTTTTGTGATTAATGATATATATGTGTTTATTTTACTCTCTCCTTAATGCTTCTACTTGATTGGCCACTACTTAGATGTTGGGTTCACTTAATTGATGCTTGAGAGGGCTAAGTTGAGTGTAGAACTTGAGTAAAATTGTGTAAGAACTTGATATTTGCATGTTGAATGGAGGGTTTTGCTAGTAAGATAGAGATATAGTTGCTAGCCTTGTATAGCCACATTAGGGTTGGTATTCAACATTGAGTTTTATTAGTTGTAACAAGAGATTGGGCAATTAATTTAACTAAATACTTGTTCATGACTTGAGAGAGCTTGTCCAAGTATTTTTAGAACCTTAGGTTAGCACTTAGTTTCATTAAAAGCATTTATGAGAAGAGGTAATTTTGGTGTTATGAAATGTAAGGGGGATAAATAATCCTAAGTCCTAAATTGTGTTGGAAGTTTGTGAATCACTCACTTTTCTTTATTTTCTAGTATTAGTTTCATTTGCAAAATCATTTTTACCTAACTAT